CCTTTGCAGATGCCCTCCCATGGGTTCTGCTTTCATGGCTGAAGCCAGCAGGAGGCTCAAATGCTGATCTAGGAGCAACCTTCAGCTGCAAAGGAGGCATCCACCAGCTCCAGAAATGCCACATCCCTTTTCAAGTGCTTTGCTGCCTCGTGGAGGAATCTGGCCAGGCAGTGTCTGCCACCACTGCCACCCTTTGTTTCCCCACATTTCTCTCTGTGGATGTTGCGTGTCCCACAGCTCATTTTTTGAACCACAGGGACGCAACAGCTGTGCACACCAGGGCAGGTGGGTGCCCTCAAGAATGCTGCGCTTAAATGATGTGGGTCTGTATGGAGTGATGCTTCTGTCTCAACCTAACAGGCTTTTAAATAATATTGAGGCTCTAGATGTCACACAGATTTTGCAAGACATGGCAGGGCCCTTTGCTGAGTCTGGACCAGAGTGAGGATTGAGCTGTGGGTAACACAAGGTTGGATTTATGCTCTAGCATGAAGCTGTCTTTCCTGAGATGCTGGAGGAGGGAGCAGAAGGGGGGAATTTTAGTCCTGCCTTGGTTTTGCCCTTGAAGACTGATGGTTTGAACAAGAGCAGTTTTGTGGAGAGAGAAAGGGCATCACCAGAATGCATTTATGTATGGCCCCAGGGCTGTAACTGTTCTGCAGGGGCCACTGGAGACCTCCAGGAGGAGGATTCCCATATAGCAGCTATAGGTGGTGGGCAGGCTCATGGGATGGAGCAATAACGTGTGGGGGTTTGTGGGACACTGGTGACAGCATAGCAGCAGAAGTGGAGAGCAGGCACAGGGACATGCAAGCACCCCAAGAGTTTGGGGGAGCAGAGACTGGGAAGTGGTGACTGGAATCTGAAATCCGTGTCCGAGGGCACTGTCCTGTTGCCTGCCAGCTGGGTCAGTGTCTCTTCAGTGCCATGGCAGGAGCTTGTGACAGAGGACTGTCTGAGCTGTTCTTTCCCAGGTGGGTTTGGGTCTGCATCTCCTGCCCCACCCTAGGCCACAGCTGGGGCAGCTCAGTGCAGCCCTGGGCAGCTGCCTTCAAAGCTTTCCAGAAGCATTTCCCAGGAGCAGTCCGCTCCCTCCAACCTCAGCCAGCGAGGAAATTTCTCAGAGCGGCACAGGGCAGAAGCAGCAACGGGTCCCTCTGCTCTTTTTCAGTTTCATTGCAGCAAGGAAACAACTGCTCTCTCTTTAAAAAAAAATAAATATCTCTCTCAGAGCAGCTTTGCTTGATGCCTTTGCTGGCCTCCCTGTGGGCTGCTGCCTGTCCCGCGCTGGGCACAGCTGCTGCCACTGCCTCTGCCTTCCCCTGCCTCTGCATCACACACCTCTCCCGGCCTTTCATCCCTCTCCCTCCCTTTCTTTTCCCTTCCTTTTGTTCATGCTCCCCAGTGGTGGAGCCCAGGCTGCTGCAGGAGGAGGATATGGGAACCTGGAGGTCCTCAGCACTGGGAGGGGCTTTCTGCCACTGCCAGTTCACTTTCGCTGTTCCCATTGCCCCTTGAGGTGGGGCAAACCACGGGAGAAACCTTTCCCTTGGCTTCTCCTCCTCTGCTTGGTGGGGAGCTCTCTTGCTTTGGATGGGTTTGGAGCACTAGGAACAGCCTGGCTGCACGAGGTATCATTTCTCTTTGCAGAAACACTTGAGAGCTTTGGTGGTTGAACAGCAGACAAAATAAAGGAGAAAAGCACCCAACAGCTTGCAGATGGAGAAATTCTCCCTCTGCCCTCCTGTAAAGCAGCGGCCTCGGGGGGATGAAGGATGCTGTGAACAGAGCTCACCAGCCCTGTGCAGAGGCACCCTGGGAGGTCCATGCATGGGGCAGTGGCTTTGGGGACAGTGGGATTTCTTCCCTTTTTCTTGCCTGGCTTTTTTTGTCAGCTCATCTCGTGGTATCTCATGGAAGGGATGTGGACCACAGGTACCAGGACTGCACCCTATCTCTGATGGAGGGCAAGGAAGCTAGAAGGTGTTTATCAGCACGGCCATTGCTTCATCACCCAAGGAGCCATGTGGACCTCTCTGAGACCCATGGCAAGGCCTTACCAACTGTGGGGTACAGGGTGCTGCATGTGCAGGTACCACCTCAGAGATGGAGGAGCCTAGACTTTTTCTAACCCTCCTTTTCTCCAGCTGCAGAGGGTTTGCATCTGGGAAGTGTGTAATTTAGAAAGGCCAGCGCTGCTGTATCACATTTCCTGTGTTGGTCTCGGTTTATGACCAGTGAAATCCTGGTGTGAAAACAGAATCAGGGTTTGATTTTATCTGCCCCTGCTGTTTTATGCTACTAACGACTTTGCATTTCTATAGCGGCTTTTATTCTGGGAGCTAAACAGGCTTCACAGACAGGCAATTAATTAATTGAGCCTCCCCAACCAGCCTACGCCCTCAACACCACAAGGAAGCGTTTTGCAGAGGAGGAAACAGAGGCAGGAGGAGCAGAATGACTGGCCCCAGGTGAAGAGATGAACTCGCTGCTGTCGTGCTGCTGCCTCAACAGCCTGGCCTTATGCTCTGGGGCTTGGGCCATTGCTCCTGGCTGCCGTGGAGATGGGCGTGGGGTCATTTCCAAACTGATGTGGGAACCATTTTCAGTGGGGAGGAGTGACTGGAGAAGTTTTTTAGGTATCTATCAGTGACAAGCAACACCAGAGCATCTGAGCCCATGAACTGACACCTCCTTTGGCCACCCCAGACTCTTGCTGAGGAATCCCCCTAAGACAATGATACAGCACCTAAAAACCCTGCTGCGCTGCTTCCACCATCTATCCTTGCTGACCAGCTCCTGTTTCTCCGGAAGACACTCGGGATTCGCAAGAGAAGGTGGTTTTGGCGGAAGGGTTTGCTTTGCTCGAGGAGCTGAGATTTGGGGATGGGCCACCCATGATGTCATGAAATAAGAGGGGCGTGATCCCCCTTTCCAAGTCCTTCTCACTGACTGGTGAGCAAGATGTAGCCCCCAGGCATCTGCGGGCTGCAGGCTGGATCTGGGGCACTGAGAGGAGGTGGAGGAATGTGCCTCTGCTCATGCAGAGTGAAAATGTTCCTGGGGAAATTGCCTGCCTTTTATTATGAAACCCTGCTAATGGTTTGTTGTCTACACAAATAACCATGGGGGAAGAACTCAGGCACTTCCCAGCCTGCTCCGTGTCTTCCTGGCTCAGCTCCTTTCTGAGCAAACATAACCTTTTGCAAGAATACCTGTCAAAATCGCTTTGAAATATTGAAATAACAGGATGGGATGTGGTTTGCTCCTGGGCCCTAGTGCTCATCCATCAGGACTCAGGATGCCCATCCAAAGAGACTGGTGAGCAGGGCGCGAGGGAAAAAACCCTGGCAAGCAGCAGGGCCACAAAGGGCTGCATTTGGGGATGTTATCACCTCGCTGGGCTGGCTGGGCTCCCATGTACTCACTGGGATTGCCTTCATGGTCTTCCTCCTCACCCCATGAGTAGTGAATCATCTGTGAGTATCTTGGAGATGGGGCAAAAAACCAGTGACTCTGGGATGGGCACTGGAGACCAATGGTTGAGGTGCATGTGGCTGCTTGGGTGGACACAAGACACGAACACAGGGACATCCCCTTCCAGTCTGTGTCCCAAGGGCTGTTCAGGGTCTCACTGGGATGTCCAGCTCCAAAGCCACTCCTGTGAAATGGGAGCCAGACTGGCCGGTGGGCACGTGGGGTTATCCACAGGGGAGCTGCTGGACACGTGGTGGTGGCAGTCCCAGGAGCGAGGGGCAGGAGCCCCGAGCCAGGGCCCATGCTTACTGCAACAGCTCTCAGTATGGACAAGCTGTGAATGTCTAGTGTCTTCTCCCTCAGCAAAAATCACCCCTCAGTGATGTCCTTCTCTAGAGAGTGGCAAGAGGCTTTCTGCTCTAACTCATCACCACCTCCTCATCTTGAAAGGTAAGAGGATAACCCACCCCACAGCAGCTGTCACCAAGGGAGAGACTGATACCTTTTAATTTGCAGGAGAGAACCCACTGCATGGTGGCACCTGCTCAACCAAGAGCCCTTCACTTCTCATCCCATTACCTGTTCCTGGTAGTGATGGTTTCCCACCTGGAATAAGGTGCTTTTCTGGGTACCAGCATTTTTTCTCAAGGTACTTGGAAGTGATGAGAACTTGGACACAGACAATTGTTAGGAGAAATCAAAACCAAACACTTAGAAACCCAAACAGTCTCCCCTCTTCCAAACACTATCCCATCAACCAACCAACAAAAAAAGTCCTTCAAACCAAACTCCATCTCTTTCTCTAAAATCCATGATTAAAACTTGGTACAAACAGATGAATATAGATATATATATATTTTTTTTAGTAGATGTAGTATTTTTTTTTCTCCTCTCTCTCTCTCATTATACAGCAAACATTGCAAATATAGAAATTTTCTCTGTACAATTAACGACTTCGGTTTACAATGCAATGTGTGGTAAAACCTCTCAGTGAGTGAAAATGTGAACGGGCCTTCAGCCGGATAAAAGTCTAAACTGGAAGACTCCGTTTGCAAAAACAGCCCAAAGGATGGATCTCCTTCTGGTCTCTTTTTGGTTTTTGTTGCTGTTTTTGTTGCTGTTGATTTTGGAAGGGAAGGAAGGAAGAACACAAACTGTTCACAAAGAATCCACAAAATCACGGAATAGGGACTCATGCAATGCAATATTGGGAAACGCCAGACTCTGCCCGCTCTTTCACTTTCTCTTATATTCAATTTTTTTCTTTTTTTTGTACTTTTTTTAAAAAAATCAAAATGAAACAAAACTTTTTCACTCCACAGTTTGTTTGTTTTTGTAAAGTTCTTGTTCAAATTTGGTGCGTATCTCACCAACGTGAGGACATTTTAATATCTTGCTTTATATATTATATAGGATATTTATAGATTTTTCATAATTTGTTCTCTCTTTTATTTTTATTGATTCTTTTTTATTTTATTTTATTTTGTTTCAAAGACAGTCTGAATAAAAATAGCTGCTGCGGATTTCTTTTGGTCCAGTTAGTGTGTTAAGTCACGAGTTGTGTGAGGACTCAGGACTTTTGCTGGGCAGAGACGCCCTTCCAGTAGTCTAAGATGTCGTGAAGATCCTCGTCTTTGGCAAACTGGACCTTTTTGCGTAGGGCGTGGCCGGCTGCCATATACTCCTCCTCGTCTTTGTGCCGCTTGCGGTTGAGTTTGAAGCGCTCCCAGATGCTGTGCGATGGTTTGCAGGTGTACTCTGGGCTGGAGGTGTAGCTCAGGTTGTGATACTGAGGCGAGAGCTGGGAATAGGCCAGGTCTCTGGGGCGAGGACGGGTCAGAGGCTCCAGGATGGAGGGCTTTCGCCCCGCCATGCTGTCGTGCTGCTCCCCTTGGTGCGAGCTGGGGTACGAGTGCCGGTGTTCGCTGTACTGGCGGATCTTCTCCGCCTCTGCCCGCAGGATGGCCGCGGCCGGTGTCACAGTGAGGATGGTGTCGGTGGTGGGGGACGTCTTCTCGATGTATTTGGCTTCTGATTCCCTCGGAGCGGTAGGACCTGGGGCTCCGTATGGAGCCGCTGGAAGAGGTGCTGGAGCGCTTGGGGGCTGCCTCCATGCTGTGGTGTCGCTGGAGAGGGTGGTTGTAGCTTTCCTTGTAGACAGGGGAGAGGAATCCGTGCTTGCTGGGGATCTGCTCTGATAAGAGCACCAGCTGAGGCTCCACCGTGGAGACTGCCCCCGATTTCACCCCTTGGAAGGAGGTGGACTCGGATTTCAAGGCATCGATGCAATTGTTGATGATCTGGTTCACCTTGTCCACCTCCTTGGCAATGGTGGAGATCTCAGCCACAGAGCTTTGGGTGTCCGGCGGCAGGGACAGCTCGCAGTCTCGCCTCTCGGGCTGCTCACCGGTCCTCACCTCCATGTAGTTGCCTTTGGTGGCCTTGGGGGTCTCACTGCTGTCAATCAGCTTGTACTGCTCGACCTCACCAGCAGAAGGCAGGTAGGGGATGCGGGTCACTGTCTCCCCGGCCAGCATCTGTCCCTGGGACAGCTGGGTGATGCTGGTGGTCTCCATTTCTGGCCCATATTTCAGCTCGATGATGGTCTTCTTCATGCTGCCGGCTGCCTTTTTGTGCTTCTCCTCCTGCTGACGCCTCTTCCGGAGACAGTAATACACAACGCCCAGGACAATCACCATGCCAAAGAGACAGCCCAGGATTGTCATGATGTAATGAGTGGCAGTGGAAGGAGTGGGCACCGGCTCCTTGCGGTTGGGTCTGGTGGGTGTGATGGTGACACAGGTGTGGTTGTACTTGGAGTATTGGTAGACAGAGACTACACAGTAGGTGTAATCTCTTTGTGCTACTAGGTTGCTCACGGTGATGTTCTCCTCTTTCTTCCTGAGCTTGGTGATCATGGAGGAGAAGCCATTTTCAAACTGGGAGAGGATGTACATCTTGCTGAAGGGATAGGGGATCTGCACGGTGAGGACGGCTGAGTTGTGGTTGAGGTGCTTCACCTGGATGTTGGGGCGCACCTCCGTTTCGCCGATGGGCGTGAAAAGGGAGAACTGCGGGGTCGTGCCATCACCAGAGGAGCAATCCTCCTCGGAGCAGGGGCTTTCGGAGGGCACCGTGGTCACCTGGTACCTGGGAGGGAAAAAACGAGGGATCACAGTGTAGGAGCCACCGGTGCAGAGGGAAGAGAGCATGCTCAGAGCATTGCGGTAGCCAGTCCGGCCTTGGCCTAACAAGTAGTAGCCCATGTAGTCAGGCGGAGAGTCGCACTGCATCCGGTCATACGTGCGTGTCATGTTGGTGAAAGCCTCCAGCCATTGCAGGAAGCCGAGGAGCTCGCAGGAGCAGTAGAAGGGGTTACTGTAGAGTTCACAGACAGAGAGCTTGTTTAGGCCCCGAAAAGTGTTGCTGTCGAGTCTCTGGATCCTGTTCATGGACAGGTCAATGTTCACAATGTTGGGGCATTCCCAGAAGGCATTGGGGGTGACGGACTCGATGAGGTTGGCCTGGAGATAGAGGTACTCCAGCTTCCCCAGGCCCCGGAGGATGCCCTCGGTGAGGTTCCTCAGTCGGTTGTAACCCAGCTGCAGCACCTGGAGGTTGAACTGTCCTGAAAAGGCACCGTCCTCGATGTAGGAGATCTCGTTCTTCGTCAGGTTGAGGTATGTCAGGTTGCCGAAGCGGCTGAGCGAGGCGTACTGCACGCTCTTGATCTTGTTGTCGTTGAGCCGCAAGTCCACGATGGTGCTGTTGATTTGCTGGGGGATGGACTCGTAGGGGGGCTGGTTTTGGCTGCAGATGGCCAACCAGACAAAGCCCTTGTCCCCCTCGATGAGCCAGCAGTCTGCCCGCACCCCGCCGGCGTGCAGGAGAGTCACGGCTGCCACGCACACGCAGAGGGCTGACGTCGCGGCCCACCGGCGACCTGCCATCTGGAAGGGCGGTGCGGACGAGGGGGTTCCTGGTCTGCCAGAAGTGGGGAGAGGGACAGGGACCAGGAAGACGTGGGCTAGCGCTTCTTCGGGAGAGTTGCTCGCGTGTC